TCCGGAGGATGAGGCCCAGAAATCAGGATTTTAAAAAGATTCCCAGGTGATTCTAATGTGCAGACAAGGTTGAGAACCACTTACTTAGAGTCATAGAACTTCAGATCCATGAGGCAACCTACTGGACAGTCCTGCTTCACTCCTTGGTTGTTGACAGGACTCACCTGTGTTGAATTGTGTACAACTGAATACAGGCCAGGCCTGGGGAATGAATTCTGTTTGGAGTATGCAAATCCTTTGGTCTGTAATGGTTGGCCGTAGATAATTCTGGCAGTTAAACAAAAGAAAGTCTGCTAGGATGCTCCCAGGAAATATTTTACTTTTTTAAAAAAGATTTTTAAAAATTGAATTTTAGAGAGAGGAAGGGGGGGGGGAGAGAAACACACTGATGTGAGAGCGAGATACCAATCAGCTGCCTCCTGCACGCCTCTGTGAGGGATTGAGCCTGCAACCCGGGCATGTGCCCTGACTGGGAATTGAACCAGCAACCTTTCAGTGCACTGGACAATGCCCAACCAACTGAGCACACCTGCCAGGGCAGATTTTACTCCTTGATAAAAGGAGAGATTCAGGAGGAGAGTTCCTCTCATACCCCTACCTTTCTGCACTTGATACTCTCGTGAGAGGCTTTGATGCTTAAAGCTGCAGCATTCAATTTGTGACCAAGAGGGACAGTGTGAAGACAAAGCAAATGGCAAAGCAGAAGGAAGGAAAGACCCAGGTCCTTGATGACATCTTTGAACCACTGCACCAGCCCTAGAGCCATCATGACTCCATGATCTAGTTCGAGAGAGAAGTAAATGTCTTGATTGCTTAAACTGCTGCTACCTACCTGGAGCTAAAGGGTTCTACAAACTGGAAGGGACTTTTATCTCTTCAGTGCAACCTCCCTTATTTTACAGGTAAGGAAACAAGGATACAACGGCAATATAAGAACCAAAGACCAAAGCTAAGCCAGGACTCTCAGGCCTGTGTTCCTTGGACCACATTATGCTGCTTATTTTACTTGACTTTTTTTAAAGCAATATTAGGCACAGAGTACTCTACACATAGGGATCATGGGGTGGCTTCCCACTACAGTTCAAAACAACTGGAATCCAACCACATCTGAACTTGTCAAAACTGCTGGATCCTGCCCAGCCTGTGTGGCTCAGTGGTTGAACATACGCCTATGAACCAGGAGATCACAGTCCGACTCCTCGTCAGGGCACATGCCTGGGTTGCAGGTTCAATCCCCTGTAGGGGGTGTGCAGGAGGCAGCCAATCAATGTTTTCTCATTGATGTTTCTATCTCTTCCCCTCATTGAAATCAATAAAAAAATATAATATTTTTAAAACTGTTGGATCCTACACATGTGAAAAACGATAATTTTATGCTAATTGTCTTAAATTTTTAAAAAAGCAGCTGATTCCATCAGGGAAGCGTCTAGTCAGCTTTCAGTGACTCCCAGTCACAGCCTTTCTTCCCTCTTGGTTCACTATTTTATTCAGAGTTCTTCCTTTGTATTATGCTCTCTTAGGCACAATAAACATAATTACAGCCCTCAGGGGTTGTAAAGCTAATAGAAAAGACAGAAAATAAACAAGTAAACACACAAATACGTAATTACAAATCAGAATGAATTTGGCCAAACCAAAATGAATAGGATGCAGATAAGAGAAAGACAAGAAGACCTTAAACATGAGATATCTGGGAAGATCTCTTAAGCAGAGCTAAAAGTTGAGGAGTAAAACATTTGAAAGATGGAGAGAAAATTATTCCAGGCAGAACATAATGTGTAATGCTCAGACAGGAAAGGATTTTACTTTCTTAAACAAAATGTGAATGAACCTAAGATGAGGCTAGGGCCAGCTCATAGCATAGGAAGGAATCTGGATTTTTAAAAAATATGTTTCTATTGATTTCGGGGAAAGGAAGAGAGAGAGAAACATCAATGATGAAAGAGAATCACCGACTGACTGCCTCCTGCACCAGAGCCCCACTGAAGCCAGTCCTGCTCCATAGGGTTGGCCTCTGCACAGCAGCTAAGGACAGTCTTCACAACCAATGGGCCTGGGCGGGGGCGGAGGGGTGGCACCTGGAGCACCAGCTCCTGTGATAGGAGACTGCCACTGTGCTGCTACATAAGGCTACTCTACTAAGACTGGGAGATATAGCAGCTCTACCTAATACATAGAAACAAACACAGGGAGGCAACCAAAATGAGGAAACCAAGAATGAAAGAGTAGAACAAGCAATCTACTAAATGCAGAGTTCAAAACACTTTATAAGGACGCTTAATGGACTTAGGGGAAGAGTAGTTGAACTTAGTGAGAACTTCAACTGGAGTTAAGAAATATAGCCCTAGCCAGTTTGGCTCAGTGGATAGAGCGTCGGCTTGCAGACTGGGGTCCCGGGGTCGATTCTGGTCAGGGAGGGGCATGTACCTTGGTTGTGGGCACATTCCCAATAGGGGGTGTGCAGGAGGCAGCTGATTGATGTTTCTCTCTCATCGATGTTTCTAACTCTCTATCCCTCTCCTTCTCTATAAAAAAATCAATATTTTTAAAAAAGAGAGTTAAGAAATATAAAAGTGGAGATAGAAAACAAAAAAGAACCAGTCAGAAGTGAAAAATACAGTAACTGAAATGAAGAATACATTACAAGGAATCAATAGTAGAGTAGATGAAGCTGAGAAATCAGTGATTTGAAAAATAAGGAAGCAGTAAATACCCAATCTGAAAAACAAGCAAAAAAAAGGGGGGGGGCG